AAAAAACAAAACAAAAGCCTAATGAATCACAATGTGCTTTGGTCACTTATTCTAAGAACTGTAGCTTAGTTTTAATTATTTGTTTAACTTCATGTTCTACTAGTGAACGTACAGTAGAATATTCTAAGTAAAAGCAATGACGTCTAAGTTGTATGAGACCTTGCTCTGCCATTAAATATTTGCTGAGGAGTGGAGTGAGACTGCAGTGATTTTTGTGAGAATGTTTAGTTTTGTCAATTTCCGAGGTTTTACTACTTCACAAAAAGAACAGGAGTACTTGTGGCACCTTAGAGACTAACAAATTTATTAGAGCATAAGCTTACGTGGGCTACAACCCACTTCTTCGGATGCATATAGAGTGAAACATATATTGAGGAGATATATATACACACACATACAGAGAGCATGAACAGGTGGGAGTTGTCTTACCAACTCTGAGAGGCCAGTTAAGTAAGAGAAAAAAACCTTTTGAAGTGATAATCAAGATGGCTCAGTACAGACAGTTTGATAAGAAGCAAGTGTGAAAATACTTACAAGGGGAGATAGATTCAATGTTTGTAATGGCTCAGCCATTCCCAGTCTTTATTTAATCCTGTGTTGATTGTGTCTAGTTTGCATATCAATTCCAGCTCAGCAGTCTCTCGTTGGAGTCTGTTTTTGAAGTTTTTCTGTTTTAAGATAGCCACCCGCAGGTCTGTCATAGAATGGCCAGACAGGTTAAAGTGTTCTCCCACTGGTTTTTGAGTATTATGATTCCTGATGTCAGATTTGTGTCCATTAATTCTTTTGCGTAGAGACTGTCCGGTTTGGCCAATGTACATGGCAAAGGGGCATTGCGCACATGATGGCATATATCACATTGGTAGATGTGCAGGTGAACGAGCCCCTGATGGTATGGCTGATGTGATTAGGCCCTATGATGATGTCACTTGAATAGATATGTGGACAGAGTTGGCATCGGGCTTTGTTACAAGGATAGGTTCCTGGGTCAGTGTTTTTGTTCAGTGATGTGTGGTTGCTGGTGAGTATTTGCTTTAGGTTGGGGGGTTGTCTGTAAGCGAGGACAGGTCTGTCTCCCAAGATCTGTGAGAGTAAAAGATCATCTTTCAGGATAGGTTGTAGATCTCGGATGATGCGCTGGAGAGGTTTTAGTTGGGGGCTGAAGGTGACAGCTAGTGGTGTTCTGTTATTTTCTTTGTTGGCCCTGTCTTGTAGGAGGTGACTTCTGGGTACTCGTCTGGCTCTGTCAATCTGTTTTTTCACTTCAGCAGGTGGGTATTGTAGTTTTAAGAGTGCTTGATAGAGATCTTGTAGGTGCTTGTCTCTATCTGAGGGATTGGAGCAAATGCGGTTATATCTTCGAGCTTGGCTGTAGACAATGGATCGTGTGGTGTGTCCTGGATGGAAGCTAGAGGCATGTAGGTAAGTGTAGCGGTCAGTAGGTTTCCGGTATAGGGTGGTATTTATGTGACCATCGCTTATTAGCACAGTAGTGTCCAGGAAATGGACCGCTTTGTGGATTGATCTAGGCTGAGTTTGATGGTGGGATGGAAATTATTGAAATCATGGTGGAATTCCTCAAGGGCTTCTTTTCCATGGGTCCAGATGATGAAGATGTCATCAATGTAGCGCAAGTAGAGTAGGGGCGTTAGGGGACGAGAGCTAAGGAAGCGTTGTTCTAAGTCAGCCATAAAAATGTTGGCATACTGTGGAGCCATGCGGGTACCCATAGCAGTGCCGCTGACTTGAAGGTATATATTGTCCCCAAATGTGAAATAGTTGTGGGTGAGGACAAAGTCACAGAGTTCAGCCACCAGGTTAGCTGTGACATTATCGGGGATACTGTTCCTGATAGCTTGTAGTCCATCTTTGTGTGGAATATTGGTGTAGAGGGCTTCTACGTCCATAGTGGCCAGGATGGTGTTTTCTGGAAGATCACCGATGGATTGTAGTTTCCTCAGGAAGTCAGTGGTGTCTCGAAGATAGCTAGGAGTGCTGGTAGCGTAGGGTCTGAGGAGAGAGTCCACATAACCAGACAAGCCTGATGTTAGGGTACCAATGCCTGAGATGATGGGGCGTCCAGGATTTCCAGGTTTATGGATCTTGGGTAGCAAATAGAATGTCCCTGGTCAGGGTTCTATCTCCCCTTGTAAGTATTTTCACACTTGCTTCTTATCAAACTGTCTGTACTGAGCCATCTTGATTATCACTTTAAAAGGTTTTTTTCTCTTACTTAATTGGCCTCTCAGAGTTGGTAAGACAACTCCCACCTGTTCATGCTCTCTGTATGTGTGTGTATATATATCTCCTCAATATATGTTTCACTCTATATGCATCCGAAGAAGTGGGTTGTAGCCCACGTAAGCTTATGCTCTAATAAATTTGTTAGTCTCTAAGGTGCCACAAGTACTCCTGTTCTTTTTGCGGATACAGACTAACACGGCTGCTACTCTGAAACCTGTTACTACTTCACTTTCACCATTTTCAGAGTGACGCTGTAGGCAAAATTTTAAGGTTAGAGAAGAGTTTGTTTCAAACAAAAACAAACATTGAGATGATGCTTTGGGGTTTTCCCGAGGCCAGTAAGGGGTTCAATCAACACCTGCCTTGCAACTCTGGGTGCCTTAAATGCTAGGCAGCTGTGGCTCACAGCCTTGACACCAAGCACCAGCACAATAGCACGGTCTCACCCTGGCTTCTATCACCCAGTTACTCTTTCAGGGGGACCTCCACAACCCTTCCAGCCCCTTGTGTTCTCCCCAAAAATGTTTACCTGCAGTGCTCAGCCCCTCTCACTATTAACACTCACAAAACCTAATCAAGTTTGCTGGTCCTTTAAAGAGACAGTACACAGTAATCTGTTAATTTAACTAAGGTTAACACAAAGTAAAACAAGCTCAGTAACAACAGAACACAGATTTAGGTGATACCAAGTAAAAAGGCTAGGGATAGAAATGGTTACAAACAAGCAAAAGTAAAAATACATTTCTAAGACTCAAATCTAACTTAACAAACTAGTGTCATTTATTCAAAGTAGTTTTCTCACCAAAGTCATTCTTCCAGCATCGCTGGTGATCCTTTAGCCAGGATCCGAATCCGAATCACTTGGTTCTTTGTCTCCTCAGGTGAAGGATGACAAAAAGGCCTTTTGCCTTTTCTTCTATCTCTTCTATAGTCTGTTAGTCTATAAGGTGCCACAGGACTCTTTGTCACTATCTTCTCCAAGTTCATTGACCCTGTCAAAGGAGACAGGAAGGTTTCCTGGGGGTGCAGTCTCCATCCCCCATGGAGATTGTTCAGTGGTCATTTTCCCTCACTTGCTTGCATTGTTTACTTTGCATGTAAATGTGCTTTTCATTATCTTTGGTCACACCTTGCTTAATTTACATTGGAGACACAGTCAAGTCTGTGAAACAGCATTCTTTTTAGGACCAGCTGGGATTAGGCACTATCTGCCAAACAGATTGGAGGAATATATTTCCATTCCAGCACTTCTCTATAGTTTTTTTGCATGTGAACTGTACATACATCACACAAGAATATTAATAATCAGTGAGTTACTAGTCTCCCAATGATATATTACAAGACACCTCTTAAATAAATATCATGACAGTGCGTGGGATGCACTGGGCTGGTCAAGCCAGCTGAGACTCACTGCTACATACCAGGGAACCCCTTGACCTCTGGCAGTAGAGTGCTCTTGGGGGTCATACCATTTGTCTGTAGATCCAGTTCCCCAGAACTTGCCATCGACACATCAAAAGCAACTCTGACTTTGGAAGATGAATGTATCCCACAATATTGAACTTCTTCAACCGACAGAGGAGAAATGCTTATCTGATATCTTAATTTATGGATCCTTCTTGTTTCACACTTGCTGACCTCATGCGATGCCAAGACATCTGAACACATTTGTCCTCAACCACTGATGGAAACAGGACTGTTTTCTGAGTAAACAGCACTGGGTCCTGTGTCTGTTTCTTGTGTTATTTTAATGTACATCGACAGTGATGTGATGACTGCCATGTTGGCTGGGGACCTCCAAAGTGAAAAGCAAGAGACTTTATAATGTGAAAGTCTAATTTAAGCTGAGAGCTATAGCAGACCCATATCCTCTGTAGATCAGGCACTGAAGGGAATACCTAACACACACTGACTAGTATTTTTTTAGACAGTGCCATCATCCTTTCCCTATTAAAAAGCAATAAAATATGTTTGAAAAATTCAGGTTATTACAGCTCCCCAAGCTAAAAAGTTATAAATAGCCCCTATATATAGTACCCCTTCTTGCCTCTCTATTCTCCACCCCTGCACTTTGCCTAGCAGCATGGCCCAGAGAAGCAAACTCAGAGAAAGAACCCCTGCCTTCTCTTTCTATTTCTGCCACAGAGTTGCTGTGTGACAATAAACAGGCCTCTTAACCCCTCTGTTTCTCGACTGCACAATGGGGACCAGGATTCCCGTTGTATGACTCTTCCCCCCCAGGCTTTTAGTCAGGGGGTTGTTTGAGAGCAGCAGTGCTGAAGGGTACTGTACTTTTAGTTCTACGTGCCCTGCAAAGCGCTTTGGAGAGAGGAGACAGGAGTACTAAGGGGATGGGTGATTTGCTATTGATTGCTCATTAGGACGCTATGATTTTATTATGGCATCGCCTGGCACGATCACATGACTATCATTATAATTTCTTGCCCGTGGGGCTGCCACACCTGACCGCCCTTGGGGGGATCGCTGCTGCCAACCACAGGCTGCCGGGGCAGAGCTGGGGTGGAAAGAAGGAGGCGGGCCCGAGGGGTGGAGTCTCCTGGCCCCCGCCGTGCCCGTCTCTGGTGGGGTAAGGCAGGGAGGGCTCCCGCTGCGGTTTGGTGCCAGCTGTGAAACTGACGAGGGAGCGGGAAGGGGGGGGGGCTCGCTCCCTGTCTGGGGAGGAGGCTGCGACCAGGCGTGCGAGCCCAAGTGTGTTTAAAAAGCAAAGAGCCACTCCCGCCCTCTCCCCCCGCGCCACTCTCTTCCCTCGCCAGCCTGTTAGCTCTGCTCCCGGCTGTCTCCGAGTCTAGCGCGCTGCGAGCCCAGCGCTGGCCTGGGAGCGAGGGGCACCGCCAGAGGAGCGGGCAGGCGAGCAGAGGGGGCGTAGGCGGCTTCTGTTGTAGGGCGAGCAGCCCGAAATAAAACAAAACCAGGTCAGTGAGCTTCTTTCACACCCGTCTTCTTCTTTCAGCCGGTGTGTCCGATGGAGCCTTTTAAAGCAGCCGCCAGCTAGTGGTTTCAGAGCGGACCCCAGTAACTCACGGCATGGCTGGTTATAGAGTGTGTGTGTGTGTGTGTGTTGACAAGCGGAGTTGCAAAGGAGGGTGCGGGGAATCTCTCGTCCTGCTCATCAGCGGGCGGAACTAGGTCGGGCTGCTCGTGTGTCGGGGTTGTGGGGTGACGATGGGGCTGGTGAGTGCCGGCTCTGGCATGGGGTGACAGCCATCTGGCTGAGTCGGTGGTGTCCTCAGATGCCTCCTTGAGCCCGGGCTGAAGCCAGCCCCTCCACCCACCATCCTCCCCCTTGTCTCTAGCAGCACGGGGGGCTGCATTTCCTTCCTGCCCCTGGGCCTTCCCTAAAGAAACAGTTTCTTCACCGAGGGGTTGTTATCTCCAGCCCTTTCTCCCGAGGAGGGGCCTCCAGGAGGAGGAGAAGAGACAGCTGTTTAGGGCTTTTCATCTGGCCGATTCTGCTTGACAGGGGTGAAATGATCGCTGGAAGGGCAAGGCAAGGAACCGGAGCTTAGGGGGGAGACAAGCCCTGCAATTTGGGGGGGTGGGGAGTAGGCTTTGCATGTTTCCTGCGTTCGGGAGGGGTGAGGCTTTAAAAAGGGGCTTAGCCTATTAAAAGGGGGGGCAGTGGTAGGGATGGTAAAGCAATGTCTGAAATGCCAGCTGATCCGTTGGTGTGTGCGTGCATGTGTTATCTGTCTTCTCTACCCATCAACTCTCATATGTAATAGCCACAGGGTGTTTGTTTCCCTTTTCGGCATTGAGGGAGTTGCTAAAGGGGAGGCTGCTTTCAAAAAAAGGGGAACTTGGAGATAGGGAATCGATATTTATTTTTTCCATTTATTTTTATTTCTAGTCTGAATGAATCTGGAAGCATGTCACACCCCGCCCCCTTGCACCCCTGAAATATAGTTATAGATCCAAGCTAAAAGGATGCTTTGATTTAATAATTTGCTGCTATGTCTAACCCTTGCTGCATGTAATTCACTGCAGGCAGAACAAAGCTCTGTCACAACTGTGCTTCCTGGTTGTCGCCTCCTGCCTGCAAACTACTGAACATTTTCCACTTGATATCATCATGCAGAAAGGGAGAAACGAGACGCAATGAGAGATTCAGGTAATACACCAAAAATACGCTCGATATCGGTAACTGTGTCAATGCTCATGTCTGTGGAGTAGTGCAATGCACGGAGAGATTGTATTGAACTCTGTCTGGGTGATGTCTGGGGTTGCATCAACGTTGTTTAAGTGAGGTTTGCTGAGCAAAAAATCCAGATGACTTTAGAGACTGATCTTTTTCCTTTATTTTTCTCATAATGCCAGTTAGGGGAGAAACTATCCAGTAACTCAAAACCATCATTCCTATTAAAACGTTCTGATGGGTTTTAAGCATTATTTTTTTTACGGACAAGAATAAAGGGTTAAATATATTAATGGTGACAGAATTTGGCTTTGTTCTTGTTGAATTAGAAATTGCCTCTTTGAAAAGGCAGCATTGCCAAAAATATGGTCTACAAATGTTACCAAGGACTAGCACCAAAGTGCTTTGTTTCAACCATGCTATTTGTTGGTGTGACTTTCCTTGGAAATAATTCACTGGTTGCCTTTAAAAAAATTAAATTGTGGTTTTGCTTAAAACACAGCAAAAGATTTGTATGCAATAAGTTGCTCTTGGGGGAGCTATTAATTGTGTGTGGGGGGGGGCAAAAGAAAGAGAACAAAGAAAGCAGGCTTTTGATAAGACCCCCTTAATTCAACTATACAATACTGAAATTCATCAGCTCCTTCTTCCCTCAGTAAATCTCTTCTTCTCCCTTTCAGAAGTATGGTCCATGTTCTGTTTTGCCCCTCTTCAAACAAGCACAGTAAATCTATTCTGACTGACATTTGCTCAAGTGTTGGGGTTGTCTGTGTAAGTCTGGGGCCACTTAAAACATTTGTAACCTTCAGACGCAATATATGCACAGGTCTTCCTTTCAACCTGTATGTCCAGGTTGAGGTCATAGGCCTTTCCGAAGTGCCCGTTGAGACTGAAATAATATATAACTCCTGGGACAATGACAAAAAAAAATCTTTTCTCTCCTGCTCTTGAAAATGCTGTTCTTAACATTGTAATTATGGTTTTGCTAATTTGAATGAAAAGGTAAATATTAAAGGAACAACTGCTGAGGACTGCAAAGTTATAACAGTTTTGTAGTGTTGCCATTCACAACATTGTCAGGGCATAGATCTGTGGAAAATCCCCTCCCCCTATCCCCCCCCCCCCCACATACATACCTTCATTTACAATAAAAGTAAAGAACTCAATGAAGAGTTCAGTGCTTCACCTGTAACATCTGTCAATTTTTAAAGGTGACGCTTGGTACAGCTGGCAAGAAAAATGAGGACGTTATTTTGTACAGAAAAAGTTGTTTCGGCCGCACCTGACAAAAGTATGGTATGCACGTCTCACAGTCTCCCTGGGAGCATTGGCCAGTGCTTTGGAATGTCCAGATTAGGTATCCTGATGCCATGAAGGATAATAAATATTTCAATCTGTGTATTGTGTGTGTAAATTATATGTATCCTGTAATAACATAGAACAGGCTGCTCATCATAAGAGAAGCCAAGGCTTAGCCAACTGAGTCTGGAGCTGGGAGACATGTACTTCAGTGTTCTAATTCTGGCTCTGACACTGATTCACTTGTGTGTTCAACATTGCTAGCTTCTGTGCGTCTCAGTTTCCCCAGGCTTGCTCCTGGAGGTGCTATTCATGTAGATCCGCCACTGGAAATTCTGCCTGGCATTTCAGCATGTCCCAATCTGCTGGACATTTAAGCACATAGTTGACTTTACTCAGGTGAGTAGTCCCACTGAAGGTAGGGAGATACAAACTTGTGTAAAATTGACCTTGTGCTTAAGTATTTTCAGGGTCAAGACCACAGTCTGCAAGTCTTTGGGGCCTGGGCTGTGTCTATTTCTATACTTGTATAGTGCTTAGTAGAATGGGGCCTTGATACTGATTAGGGTTTCTGGCACTATTGTAATATAAACATTAAATAGTAATAGAGAATGCTTTCAGGATCGGGCCCTCCATCTGTGACATGGGGATAATTGACACTTTTATTTAAAACAAGCAAACAAAAACATTTATTTAGCAGCCAACTTGAGTAAGGGTTGCAGAGCTGGGCCCTTTGATACGGTTTTTGGCAGAACATGGGGAGTCTATTAAAAAACATGGGATCCCAGCACATCTCAAATTCTGTACAGTTTTTAAGATTCTACCTCTAGCTGCTGCTATCGTGTGGGTTGGAAACAAGATCTGAGCCTGGACCTTTTCCCCCTCCACACCATATAGATCCTCTACATACATTCCACAGATGTTTTTGAGCCTATCAAGAGTTGCCTGCCTTCTTTGCTGATGCCATTTTCTATACAAATCGCTGTTCTGTTGCTCAGCTCTGTGAGGAGAGGAGTGGAAGCCTTTGAAACTGATTTGGCTGAGTTGCACAGTCTCCTGTCAAAGAAAACAGCAATAAGAAACCATCTCAGCTTTCGTCTTCTTAAGTTAATTATCCAGGATCTAACAACATTTTAAACAGGTGATTTTTTAAAAAAAAATGTTTGACTCTGATTGCAGTATCACCAGCCCTGGTTTCCAAGGCGCCCACTCACTGCACCAGAACTGAAGGGTAAGCAATAACAGTTCTATGGGGTGAAAACTCCATCAGTGGGTTAGGTATGCAGGTTGGGGTCAGATCTAAACAATCCTAAAAGAGCCGTAGAAGATGTAGACCCAAGGAAGGGTCCACACTGAATGTTTTGTGAGGAATTGAGTCCTGTCTCAAATAAATATGTTAGTCTCTGAGGTGCCACAAGTACTCCTGTTCTTTTTGCGGATACACACTAACACGGCTGCTACTCTGAAACCTGTCTCACTAGAGTTTCTTTAGGTGAAGTTAACAGAGAGCTGGTGTGGCATAGAACAGAAGTGGCTTCGTAAAGCCTCAGTAGGAAACAGCGGGGTGGGAGAAAGCAAAAGTTTCTGGGACGAGATCAGCTCCCTGCCTAAAACTTCTGAGGAACTGACGATAAAAAAATTATAGATAAGCAGTAGCAACTTTCATAGTTAAAGCTGAGTAATAAATACTTAGCCCCTGACCTGGCCTTTTTGCTCTTCAAAGTACTGTACAGATGTTAATGAATTTGTAATCTGTCCCTTCCTACCAGCTGCCCCAGGGTCATTAAAATAGCTGACAAGAAATCATAACAGGTATAAAATTAATTTGAAAAGCATGTTATATGGTGAAGAGACCTTATTGGGGAAGAGGCTATTACAGCATTCGCTAACTGGAAGATAATTACAAGACATGGAATCTTCATCAGCCAGTCTGATCCCCAAATTTCATCCCAATTATGGTTTAAACAGAGTTCAATTTCCTAAGATTTTTGTGAAAGGTGGCAGGCAAATCATCTCAGTCCAGAACTGACTTTCCCAACTTAGGCCTTGGTAGTTTGGGTGCACAAAGAAAAGTGTTTGTGAAAAAGTGCATGTATAAGTTGGGGTTGGATTTGTGCAAGGGTGTTTGTGTGTGCCAACTCTTGTGTGCATCAGGTGATTTGCACACCCAACTTGGCCACATGAATGTTTACAAATGTTGGCCTCTTTGATTTCAATGACAATTTGGGATGCACTGGGAAGATGGGATTCAGCTCCAAATGTTCTCTCAAAGTCGGAAATGTGGGAGAACATGGTTCCTCCCTCCCACCCCTCTTTCTCCCCAGCATTATCTTAGACCAGGTCTGCACTAGAAACCTTTGCTGGTATGGCAATGTTGTGGTGATGGTGGTGGTGGTCGTTTGTTTGTTTATTTATTTTGGGGTGATGATTCTATATTGACAAAAGCCCTAAGGTAGACACAGTAATACTGCCATAAACGTGCTTTTGCTGGTATGGCTTACTTTGTTTAGGGGACTGATATAAGCTATACTGACAAAAGTACTTTTCCCCTGGGGTAAGCTATGCCTCCACTTGCCAGTATAGTTATATTGATAGATATGCTGGCAAACCTTTTCAAGTTTAGACCTGGCCTTAGGCTAAGTTGAAAGTGAGGGATTCTTTCAGACCCAGGAGTAGGATGTAAATGTGCTGGGACTCTGGAGGCAAACCTGGGGTGTGGGTGGAACCCCGGGGTTAGGGTGTGTTATGCTCGTCTGTCAGAAAATATGTTTGTTACAGCCCCAGCTACTGAGCCTGGTTCTTTAAAATCTGACTTTGAGCTTTGGAGGTCTCTGGTTCAATCATTGTTTCAAGAGAGCAGCTGTCACTTAAATGGAGCTCATCTGGGATTCAAACTGCTGAGAGCCCTTACTTATTTGATAGATGCCATCTTGACACCAGGGATTGAACTGGGGTCCTCCAGAGCTAGAGTATGAGCCTCTACAGCTTGACCTAAAGCGTTAGGCTGTCAAGATGGAAGTGACTCACATCTTCTGTGGATTTGGCACAGAGAGGGACACATTGACCAGTGGGTCACACATGTATGTGTGTGTGTGTAGGGGATTTGGGAAGTGTATGGTACCTTGTGGGAGGTGGGAAAACTACTGGTTTATTTCACTTCTTTATTGTGTACTAATACCATGGATACTATAATCTTCTAGTGTATTAATATTATACATAGGAACACAGGAATTGGTCTGATTCACTGTGGCAATGTAGCCATTTCCCTGACAGTGGCTAGTATCAGATGCATCAGAGAAAGGTGCAAGAAATCCTGAAGTAGGCAGGAATGGAATACCCTGCCCACAGGCAAAGCGCCTTCCGAACCCTCATCTATTAGAGACTGGCGTATGCCTTGAAATCTGATTGCTTCTATCCCTTCCAAAACTCTTGCTGTTTTTAATTCTTGTTATTGTAACTCGATGTTCTTGTTATCATTATAAATAAATGTAGTGCTATTAATACCGTATTGCTCCACACAGTACATTCTACACAAAGCTGTGCGAGTCTGATACCAAAACAGCAAACACTGCAGTGCTCTGATCAAGTTACTCCTCCATAATTGAACTTAAAATTGATTAAAAATCATAAAACGATGGCACGGTTCGAGTGCTTGGAACGTTCAACAGGATCCCAAT